ACCCTAGACACGGCAGCGCTAATGGAAGAGCCGGGGAAGCCCCAGTGGCGCCTCCGTGTGGGGCATAAGCTTTTCATTGGCGTCGCAGTCCTCGAGGGACAGTACGTGTTATGCGCCTTGCTCACACGCCCGGGGAGAAAAACAGGAGATGGCCCTGCGTGGGGAACCGCCTTCGTTCTCCGTGGGAAAAAGTGTATTGCCCTGCCTGCGGCTCCCCTCCCCAGAGACACCGGCATCCGTGCTGCCCGCCACCATGCCTCTCAGACGCGACGTTTGCGCCTGCCCCGCAAACACCATCGCCTCCTCCCCCTGCTGTTCCTCCTCATGCGTATGGCACCGCAGACTCTCCGGAATAGTCCCCATGTCAGTGCGGTGATCATCGCGAAGTATGTTTGTGAGGTTTAACGGGGCGGACCCGCGCGTTGAATATCTTCGGCGCCATATCTCATTTGCATGCAGTCGCCACCGCGGTTTCCTTAACAGCTCAGTCATAAAGGTGAACAACAGTAGTGCGGTTCCCAGGATAAGAAGCACGCTGCAGCATCCGAGCTGAACGGAGATATAGGTGCCACAGGCATCGTGCACTAGAGGCGTTGTGGCTATCCACGAGGCACCGAGCATCCAAAAGATCTCCCAAACGACGTACACCAAAAATGCTATGTTGATTGGCTCCATAAAGAAGAGACGGAAAGTACTCAGCTCCAGTGGTATTCCCTGCTCAATGCGGTAGCGCATTCGCCACATGAGCACAATTGCGTATATCATATTCACAATGGTATTTGAGAGTCCCAACGCACACCATGGCGTTGTATGGGCGCTGCATGAAAGCGACAGCAAAATGTCAAAGCCGCGAATAAGCTGGGCGCCGTTTCCAGTGACAGTCAGCAGGGTAAAGAACGGTGTTGGGCGATCGTTGGGCACCAGCGCGCGCCACACCAGTGCACGCGTCTCCTGTAGCCGGTACCGCAACGTCCCCTCTGCTGCCCGCATCACCAACGAGAAAGGAAGTATATTCCTCACTAAAGTAAATACATGAACCTGCCAATGGACAAGCGCAATTTTGCTCCACACTTGTGCGCAAGCGTCGAGACAGTGTTTTTTTTTCTTTTGGACTAGAAAAAAAGGGGGGAAAAGATGGCAGCGGGTGCGATCGCATCAGCGCCAGCTGAGAGAGGGCACGTTGTTGGCTTTGCCCGGCACCGAAACACGCCTGGAGCGATCCAGGGGCGATCGGGAGAAGGTAGTAGTGTTAGGAATTGTATTAGGGAGACGGGGTTAAAAAGACGCTGCGTTATTGCACCACCTACCTCACATTACAAGCGCTGTCACCGCATACCCCACAATGGTTAACGCACATGCCGCAAGGTCAAACATGAGCTTTGGACAGAAAATGGAAAACAGCATGAGGTGGGACTTCTGAACGTGCGCGTTGAAGGTGGAGGCGGCGGTCTGCACCACCGCCAGGTACACCAACAGGTAGCACAAGTTCCACCCATGTGCCCGTTGGGTCTTGTAGACGCTCATAACCGCCATGGGAACCAATAAAAAGGCGTTGAGCGCCCGCATCACGACCAGCAGACTCCCAAAAACGACGTATTCCGAAGAGTTGCCCACAAAATAGGCGTTCAAGTCCACTGTGGTGAGGAGGCATTGATTCCCCTGCGAATAGAAGGCAACCCACGAGAGTAGGTGCAACAACACCGCCTGGGCGATGCCTGGAAGGTGGCTTATTGCGCGTACCACAAAAGGCAAGAGCGCCCCGTAAATGGCAACTGCGGCGCTTACCAAGTACTTCTCATGGCAGAGGGAACTTGCCCACACGACAAACGCCATATACCGCAGGTGTGAGCCATCGTGCACAAATACCGTCAACACGAAAAACACGAGCGGGGCGACGTGGTGAAGGAGGAAGCGGCTGTAGCAAATGGCCATGAGAGAAAACTGTGCCACCACCCAGAGGCGATCGAAGGTGGAGGAGGAGGCGAGGAGGAAAGCGGCGGCACCAATAACAAGGCCCATGTACTCCCACTGCAAACTTGCAGCGTGCGTAGCCATCCACTCTTCCAATGGAGACATCATCCCGGAATGGTGGGTGATGTGCGAGCGACTGCGACCAAGCAAGGGCACCATGACTCGCAACGACACCTGCAGCCCAAAAAGAAGCAGGGCAGCACGCTTCTGAGATGTGGCAAGAAGCGCTGAGAGAAGGAGGAGCTCTAGCAAACAGAGCACCTCCACATCTTCCTTTACGATGAAGCTGTTAGAGAGCAAGGCACAAAGACGGAGTACAAACAACAGCACCGCCCAAGTACCCGTCAGCCTCTCCCGTCGTATGCACTGCAAGAGTTCGGTATTTCGCATCAGTGAGAAGGCGGCTATGAGAATGAGGCACGATCCAAGGAACATACCACCTTGACTCATTTGACTCCGTGTTTTGCGCCCAAAGTGGCTCATCATGGCAAGACGTTCGCGCCAATTTATAGTCTCATTTTCCCACGCAGCATTTTTTGGCAGTCGTGCGTCTCTAAAGTAGTTGCTCATTTGTCTCCAGTTGCACTCCTCAAGCCTGTCCAATTCCGCCTCCGGATCAGCAAGGACGACAAGCTCCGGGATGATGCGGCCAATATTAGCAAACGGAATGGGGACACCCAAAAGCGCACTAATCGTCGGTGCCAGGTCCACTTGATGTGCCGCGCTTAGTTTGTTCAGGTCCACTCCAGCAATCTCACGGCACGGCTTTTGTGGCATCAAATCCTCGTCACGACCCTCAGCCCAGCGCGTCTCTGTCAACTCAGATCTTCGGCGCAAAGATTTGGCGGCATCAGCTGCTGTTGCGGAGGACGACGAGTGCCGGCTGTTCCCGTCAAACAGTTCGGCGTAGAGAAACGAGTCCGTCTCTGGAAACGTGTCGCCGCCGTGGTCGCCGTTGTTTGTCATTCCATGGTCGCCAATGAGAAGCAGCAAGGTTCGCATGCTCGAGTTGCGTTGGCGCAGTACCTGAGACAGATTATACAGCGCATCGTTGGTTCGTCCAAGCACACGACCCATTTCAGGGTGGTGGGCCCTATAGGTGTGGCCGGCGTGATCAACTCCCAATAGGTGAGCAATGACAAGCTTTGCGTAGTTCGTTGGGGCCTTCTCCACCGTTTCCTCCAGGAGCCTTGGCGGGAGCTCTTTCATCACAGCCTCGTCAATCGTATCTAAATCCTTCACGTCAAATGGGGAGTAGGTGACGGTGTCCTTCCACAGCGTCGTATTGTCGCTGTCAGGAAACATGTTCAGCCATGTGTTGTCGCCATAGAGGATCGATCGTTTACGCAGCTGATGCAGAAAACTGTCGAGCTCTATAATGTCGGTGTTGAGGTTTGCCTTGAGCTCGAGGAATGCCGGCACGGTCCCCGTCGTGATCCCCCGCAGTCGCTGGCACGTCACGGTGGGAAAATCCGCGTAGAAGAAAAAGCCGTGCGATGGATTTGCCGCGGACTGCAGGTTTTTTTCAACGTAGGTCAACGTCTTCTCCTGTTTGTAGGCGGGAGACGTATCCTTCAGGTCGGCGGCGCTGCAGTCCTTTCCAGTGGCGTAATGGTGCGAGAGCCGCGGCAACACAAAGTCTGGGCGCAGTGCGTCGACAAGGACAAGCACAATCTGGTCTACCGGGCGCACCCCACGACACACTTCAGTTGATCGTTCGCTGGACAAGGTCGACTTGGAAAACATGGAGTCTACAAAAACGAAGGCCCCGGCCAGAAACAACAGCACCAGCAGCACGACACGGAGGTGATACGCCAAGTTGCGGGAGCGCCCCATGCAGGGAGGGGAATGTTTTTGTGTAACCGCCATCATTGGGGAACGGGGAGTGCAAAATGTGCGCATGTTTGTATACCTGCGTGTGTCTGTGTGCGTCTGTATCTGTGTGTGGGTGGGTAGTTGTATAGCGGAGTGCTGTGGTGGGGGGCGAGTCGCTAGGATTTTCTCAATCGTGCCGTCAGCGGTCATCAACAGAAAAGTGGGGGAGTGGGAAGCATGGCGAGGGAAGTCCGCAGAGAGAGAGAGAGAGAACAAGGCGTGTGGAAGCAAACGGCCACCCAAACTCGATGCGGGGCATCCACAGCAAATACACAAAGCGTTTCTCCTTTATCCGTGCGCTTGGAGAGGGAAAAACAAATAATAATCATAATAGTTAACAACTCTCTCTCCAGATCTCTCTCCAGATCTCTCTCTTTGCTTTCTTTTTTCCCCTCCTCCTTCTTCGTTCTTCTTTTCTTCCACGTCTGTGCCTCTTTTCCCGCCACCAAATGGCGGGCCAAATGTAAATATCTGCGAGGACATTTGTGCGCCGGCCGCTACCGTCGTCTGTTCGACGCCATCTCTCGTTTAATGTTCCGATGCCGCACCTGCATGGAACGCTGCGCAGCGCGTCGCTTCGCCGCAAACGGCACAGCGTTCTTCGTGTGCTGCACCGTGCGTATTTTGGCGCGGCGCACGGCGTCTGCCCACTCCTGCTCGGTGATCGCGCGACGAGAGTCGATGCGGCCGCCACCCAAGTTCATGTCCTGCCTCACCCTCGCCCCAAAGAGTTCTTCCAACTTCCCCTCCACCTTCTGCTGCAACTCGGCGTCTCGCTGCGCCCGCCGCTTCAGACGCAGCTCCTCGCGGCTAAGTTGATCGTCCGGCGTCTCCACCAGCGACAGCGGGTCGTTGTGCTGCATCGCCGTCTGCTCCACCGTGGAGTGGCGCACGTCAAGCAGCGTGTTGGGGAAGTCCACCTGCGGGTGCTTTGTGACGGCGTAGAGAGGCACGTCGTGCGGAAAGAGCGACCCCCGCTTGATCCGCTTTAACAGCTTCCACCCGCCGATGTGTTGCCACCGCATCGTGCTGTGGGCACTCACTCGGTTGCGGTCACCGTAAAAGCGCCGGTAGACGCGACCGCTGACGAGGTCGCCGTCTGGGGTACAGAAGTCCGCCTGTATTTTTCCGCGGCACTGCGGGTCCCGCACCACACGCAGGTACTTTGGTGCCATTCGCATCACGCGCTGGCGCATCTGATCCACCTCTTGACGCACGACGAGCATCTCCGCTGGGGTGATGGCGCGCTGTCGCTGATAGCCGGCGTCCACAAAGGCACGGTTAAACTTGTGGGTCGCGGGCGGCAGTTGCAGCGGAAAAATAAGTTTGTTGTGGCGTGCGTTGCCTGTCCTGACGAGCCGCGGGACGTCGGTCGGCATGTGTCCCACCTCGCCAGTGCTGACTGCGCCCTCCCGCAGCGCTGCCTCCAGCGGCGTTGGCGGTTGCGCCTCCCCCGTGGAGGGGGTGTGCCGCAGAGGGGAGGGCACGCCCGTCTCAGGGCGGTGCAACGCCTCATCACTGAGCCGCTCAAAAACGACATCCTTCACGGTAAGTGCGGCTTCGTACAACTCGCGCTGTTTCGCATCCCGCTCCTCTCGCTTCGCCTCCTCCGACTTCTTCATCTGCTCCTGCCGACGGAGCGCCCGCTCAGGGACGAGTTCATTGCGTGCAAAAATTAAATAGCTGATGGGCTCAACACCAACCTTCAACGGCATATGCCGTGCCCACACCTCAACAAAGGTGGCACGATAGTGCGCCTCCGTGCTGCAGATACGCATACGTTTGCGCTTCACGCCCGCCTTGCAGTGCCGCAACGGGCAACGTTGTTCGTGTGGGCAGGGGCCAACAATGGTGGGCTGCCAGTCCCAGAGGCCGACGTCCTTCTCCTCGAGCAGGCAATCTCGCGCCTCCATGAGAAGGTTGAAGTTATTAAGATTGGCGAACTCCACAAGCACGAGGACGCCCTTTGTCATTTTCCACAGTTGCTGCACCAACTGTCGACGATTCTCCGCCGCCGCAATTTCGCTGAGGGAGTAGGCAGCCACTACGAGGTCGTGCTGAATCACTTCATCTTCCGGCAGCAAGTACCGCTTCCACGTCACGTTTGGCACATCGTCGTGCAGCACCATGGTTCCAATCTCCATCATGCCGGGACTTGGCTCAACCGCAGTGACTTCCTGCAGCGGTCGAAGACGCTTGGCGGCCCGCTGCTGCGCCGTCTCATTTTCAAGGTCAACAAACTGCTCCCACCACGTCTTTTTGGGCGCCGTGCCGCCGTCACGCAACTCGTCGTGCTCCTCGCCGTCCATGAGGTCGTTTGGGTCCTCGCGGGTCACGCAATCCACGTTCAGCGGGTCACCGCTTTCCCACTCTGTGCCGTCCACAACGTCGCGGTGGCGCGCGTGTGCCTCCCGCGTCAGGCGTTCTTTTTTTGCCTCCGCCGCCGCCGCCGCCACCTCACCGATTTCGCGTCGCAGGTCGTCGGGCAGGTCGGCGGGATCAACCTCACCCCTCTCCAGCAGCGCGGCCACAGCCATAAAACGCACCTTCTTTTTCTCCGCATTGTTACGCTGGAGTCGCTGCAAGTCGTAGCGCAGCTCGGCCAGCCGGTGGGTGCGGGAGGAGTCGTTCCCCTGCATCGTCTGCCGCAGCGAGCGGTAGAGCGGGTAGGCGAGTGCGCCGGGGTCGTACACCTCCTTTGCCACCAGCGTGGCAGTGCCGGTGCCGGCGCCGAAGTCCAGCATCGTCTTGGGGACAAAGTGCGGAAGCTGCTTGCTAAGCTCAAAGAACACGCGGTGCATCCCCGCGTACATCGCCGCCCCGCGGAAGAGGAAGTACCCAATGGCGTCATCCGCCGAGTAGAGGACGGAGCGACTCGCCACGGCATTTGCCACCGCCAGCTGCCGTTGGAATTTCAACAGGCGTTGCCGTATCTTAAACCGCAGCTTTGCCTGTGACCGCTTGTCATGCAACCGAAGATCGGCAAAGTTCTCACCCTTTTCGCGGCGCTCAAAGAGTTCCCGCTTTTTCTGATTCAGCGTGTCGGCTTCGCCTTCGGGGATCATTTCTGCTGGATTTACCGGCAGCCGCACCGGCTCCTCGCGATTTCGGTACTCAATGACAGGAATGATGTCGCGCAGGCATTGCCGGATGAGGCCCTTATCCTTCAGCCGAAAGACCTTCATGAAGGCGGCCTGCATCGACGGCGACATCACGACGACACCAGGCTGCATGTCGCAGAAGTCGTCCCGCACGGTCCACTGCCGCATCGCTGGCCGGCGCTTGCACATCTTCCGCAGCATCTGATACTCGTAGGACATTTTGGCCGCAACGTCAATGACGCGGATGCGACGGCGTCCGTAGCGCATCTTCGCGCTGAACTGCGACCATGTCTCCTTCCCGGCAAGCGTGGTGCTGGAGCCCGCCTGCTGCCCGGACTCCCCGGGCTGATGCATCGCCCCCTCGCGCACGTAGCCGCCGCCACCGCCCAAGGAGGACGAGGACGACGACGACGACGCCAGCAACCGCCGTTGGTTGAATTGCGTCGCCGAGATGACGATGGGCGGCCCCCGCAGCCGAAACGTCGGCAAACCACGACAAAAGCGAATCGACATCGTCGCTCTGCCGTTGCCTACCGCGCCCTCTCTTCGCTTGCGTGTGTGCCTTTTGGAAGCCCCCCCCCCTCTCCTCCTTTCGTACGCGGTGTCCCCGTACCCCTGGCGCTGCGTCGCGGGGACGGGCGGGCAAAGCAGCGGTGACCCCACACACGCGCGCACAGGCAGAGCGAGGGAAAACAAGGATCAGAAAAAAGGGCGGGCCGACTTAGAGAGACGGAACCAAGACTGGACGCAGCAAACCAGCAAAGAAGGGCGAGGCAAAAGTCATGGCGCCACCGCGCTCGGGAGCGGCGGTGGAAGAAGAAAAAGGAAGAGGCTTAGTGGAAGAGAAGGCGAGTTCCATGAGCCGCGTCAAAGTCATGAACACAAAAAAAAAAACACATAAGAAATAACTGCTACCCACCTGCGCCGTGTGCTCCCGCCACGTATGGAGCAAGAAGCACACAACAGCCCCTTGCCCGCCAAGTGACGGGTACACGGCGCACACACCCCTGATAAGTTGGTTCATTTTCTTTTCGATTTTCCTCAGAAAAATACGGGCGCCCCTCCCCTCCCCACCACCACCATCCCTCTTGAAACATTTGGTTCTTCTTCACAGCGACAACACCGTCGTGCCTTTGGCATTACCGGGATTCAACGGGTCGCGCGCCGCCAGCAAGATGGATATTTACATGCCTCTGTGCGGCCGGCGCAGAACATTTATGGTCCCTCGTAATTTCCTCTCCATTTTATTTTACTTTTATTTATTATTATTATTATTTTTTTTGCTAAGATAATTTTTCTCCGTTTTTGTTTTGTTTCGTTTCGTTTCTTCGCTCCCTCTTCATACATTTCACCGCGGCCGCACGGCAACGATGCCGATGACAGAATAAAAAAAAACACTGCCCCTCCCTTCGCTCCGCCTTTGCTGCACGCATGCATGAATATATATATATATTATTATTATTATTGTATACTCTTTTTTTTGGGGGGGCGCTTCTTCCACCGTCCGTACTTTCGGTGTCATGTTCGCCCCCGCTTACACCTCAACTTTGTTGCTTTTTGTTGCGCGTTCTCGCGGCCTTCGCGCGTCGAGGCCCGCAAGCGGCTGACTCCGTTGGGGTCACTTGAGCTGCTGGAAGAAGTCGTTGCCCTTGTCGTCCACGACGATGAAGGCAGGGAAGTTCTCCACCTCAATCTTCCACACCGCCTCCATCCCCAACTCCTCCATGTCGAGCACCTCCACCTTGCGAATGGACTCCGTGGCGAGGACCGCGGCGGGGCCGCCGATGCTGCCAAGGTAGAAACCGCCGTGCTTCTTGCACGCCTGTGTGACCTGGCGACTGCGGTTACCCTTCGCAAGCATAACAAACGAGCCGCCGTGCTCCTGGAAGAGGTCCACAAATACGTCCATGCGCCCCGCCGTCGTTGGGCCAAAGGAGCCAGAAGGCAGGCCTTCCGGGCATTTCGCCGGTCCTGCGTAGTACACTGGGTGCTTCTTCATGTACTCGGGCAACGGCTTTCCCTCCGCCAGCATTTCCCGCATTCGTGCATGGGCAATGTCGCGGGCGACGATGATGGTGCCGCTCAAGCTGAGGCGTGTCTTGACGGGGTACTTTGACAACTCGGCGCGAATCTTCTCCATGGGCACGTTTAGGTCAACCTTCACGGGTGGCGTCTTGAGCAGCTGGTCCTCCGTCACTTCGGGCAGGTACTTTGCGGGGTCCGTCTCTAGTTGCTCCAGCCAGATGCCGTCCTTGTTAATCTTTGCGAGTGCCTGGCGATCGGCGCTGCAGCTTACACCGATGCCGATGGGACAACTTGCGCCATGACGAGGCAAACGAATTACACGCGCGTCATGCGCAAAGTACTTTCCCCCAAACTGGGCCCCCATCCCAATGTCGCGGCAGATATCCATGACGACGCTCTCCATCTCAAGGTCGCGGTAGGCGTACCCCTTTGACTCGTCCGGCTTCGTGGGCAAGTTGTCGTAGTACTTGCAAGAAGCGTACTTCACCGTCTTCATGGTCATCTCCGCGCTTGTGCCACCCACGACGACGGCCATGTGGTACGGCGGGCAGGCCGAGGTGCCGATGGTGGAGATTTTCTCCTCCAGGAACTTACGGAAGGACTTGGGGTTAAGCACCGACTTCGTCTCCTGGAACAGGTAGGCCTTGTTTGCCGAGCCCCCGCCCTTGGCCACAAACATGAAGTTGTACTCCTGCCCCTTTGTCGCGTACAGGTCGATCTGGGCTGGCAGGTTGCTCCCAGTGTTCTTCTCATCAAACATGGTGAGCGGGACGTTTTGGCTGTAGCGCAGGTTGGTGGTGGTGAAAACCTTGTGCACCCCACGGCTCAGCGCCTCGCTGTCATCCCCGGTTGTGAACACCTGCTCGCCCTTGTAGCCGGCAACAATCGCCGTGCCCGTGTCTTGGCACCCGGGAAGGATGCGACCCGCCGCGATGTTGGCGTTCTTCAGAAGCTGCAGCGCCACAAAACGGTCATTGTCGCTCGCCTCAGGGTCATCGAAGATCTTCCGCAGGCAGGCGAGGTGGGAGGGGCGAAGGAGGTGCTGCACGTCGCCAATGGCCTCCGCGGCGAGTTGCGTCAACCCCTCCACGTCCACCCGCAGGATCTCCGGCAAGCCAGAGCCCGGCTGCACCAGAGACACGTAGTCCTTCGTCAATAGGCGGAACTTTGTCTCGTCGTGCGAGACGTGCGGGACGAGCGGGACGTACTTGAATGGGGGGGCGGCCTTTTTGCCGAGGACTGCCAGGGAACGGCGCAGCATGAGGGAGCTGGGTGAGTGTACGAGTGAAAGCTATGCAGGCAACGTGCCCTTGTGAGCGCCTGCGCTACGGCCTTTTTCCGCGAGACTGCGCAATGAGAAGGCGAGAAAGCAAGCGAAGAATAAATAAATAAGACGAAAAGAAAAGAACAAGAAAAAAAATATAGAGGTGAAAAAAGAGCGGCGCGGCGCACACGCAAGCCCGCGCAGGGGCAACTCTCGCCTCCCCACCAGCGCCGGTACTCGCGCGCGGCGTCAAGGCCGAATTGACGGCCGAATGGGAGCCGCAGTCTCCCACCGGCCTCGGTGGCACCTGCGCACCGCCTCCTTTCCCTGCAGAACGCAATAAGTGTACATCCCCCGCACCACCCGCGGGACAAACAGCGACGCTTCTCTACCCGAGTAAAAAATAAATAAAAAATAAATAACACAGCGCACCGCAGGCGTGCAGCCACCCACACACACACACACACACACCACAATAGTCCATACATTGCAACATCAAAGCCTGTCCTGTGAACCGCCGCATTGCAGATAAGAGAATTCAGAGCCAAGAGTCGTACCGCGAACCAGCACGGTGCAAGTACCAACGTTATTCCTTCCCATCATGGCTTCAAGGGCTGGCCTGCACCGCTCCGACAGGGGATTATCCGACAAGTCGAGGAAGCTCAACTGCAGACTACCGTCACCCCCATGCGCACAGATATCAACTACGTCCGCATCTGTCACTGAGTTATTGGATAAATCCAGCTCACGCAGAGATGGACTGTGGTTTACCGCCTCTGCAATAACTCGCGCGCCCACGCCAGATAGATGGCAGCTCCCCAACCCCAACACCGTCAGGCGCTTGGCACACGGGATGCCTAGGGCCATGTGTGCGGCGCCATCCGCCTCAATGAGGTTGTCTCGTGCGTACAACCTCTCCAGGTTTGAGCACTCGGTGAGAAAGCTACACAAAACTTTACCGGCCGTGTGTAACAGGCGACCAGAGGAGACGTTCAAAACACGAAGAGAATGTGAGGAGTGGATTCCCACGCGCAGAATCCCGGTTAGCGCCGACTCCGTCACGCAACATCGCGACAGGTAAAGCTCCTCCAGTGAGGCGGCGCAGCGACTCAGGCTAACGTAGAGGCCGCGTTGATGCACGGTCTGGATGCGGTTGCCGCTGAGGTCAAGCAACTTGAGTGAGGGGGGAAAGAAGAGCCAGCGAGGCTCCTCGAGCGGAATCGCAAAGGCGGGAATGAAGTCGTTGCCCGCGAGTCTCGCCTCGACCAAAGCGCCTGCCTTAGCGATGCCTTCCGCCACCGCCTGTGCCGCGGTCTCGTCCACGTGGCAGCGCTCCAGCTCCAACCGCCTCAGCCGTGCGGTGTGCTTCAACATCACCCTGCAAACGAGGTCGCACGCCTCGGCGTGAAGGTGCATGTCACGGAAGGACAGCTGCTCCAGGACCTCGGTGGGGCTTTGCTCCAGGGCGCGTAGAAGCGTGCGAAGACCGACGGGGGTAATTCGGGTGTCGGCAAGATCCACCACACGCAGCATGCGAGTCTTTGGGAGCACCGTGGAGGCAACGTACTCCGCCGCATAATCGTCGAACTCGCCGCCCATCATGCGGAGAGTTTCCGCCCGCAGAATATTCTCCTCCGCGAGGCCGCCGCGTAGTAGCCCCGTGCCAGTCAAAACTTTGTCCTCCTCTCGCGGGTTCTCGGGCGGAGCAGCAGCCGGGGCATCGTCCCCGCAGGGTCCCTCCTCGAGGAGAATCTCCCTGCAGCGCCGCAGCGCCACATCGTTCACGTCCATCCTTCGTGAGCGGCACCGGCAGGCCAACTTCTGTTCCGCGCTGTCAGTGAACGGCTTTCAAGAAAAACCAATAAATTCGATGCATAAAAAATGAGAAACAAAAAAAAAGGGAGGAACAATCATCCACCAATGGCATGCAGCATCGAACACGCTGAAACCCACCGACACAGCGAAGAAACTAAATATGAATATGCCTCTCTCTTTAGCATATTTCTTGTGCGCAGACACATGAGCACACGCGAACTCTTTCTTTCTATGTGTATACTGCTGTGTCTACATACCATCTATGGAATGAATCTTAAACTAAAACAAAACCAGTAATAGGCATAGAGTTAAACAAGGGCAAGTCAAGGAACTATTGTGCTTTTCCGCCCTCACTGCTATCAGCAGCATCGTAATGATAACCCCCTCCAGACCGTCAGTACTTCATCTGTGTACTCGTTCCTCTCTTTTTTTGTTTATTTCTGCTTTCAGCCCTTTTAAACCTTGAGGGTGAGAAGTTTGTTGTCTCTGGAGTTGTCGCCAAAGGCCTCGGAGAAGTCGCGGTATGTGACTGTCATGTGACGGAGCTCCTTCTCGCTGGGCTCGGCGCCGTCGCCGTGGGGAGTGGTGTCTTCTATCGGACCCCACAACATCACCGCCAGCTCCCCCAGAGAGACGGCGATGCCGGTCAGCGACTGCAGCTGCGCCCTGCAACGCTCCAGCGTCAAGGTGTGGGTCGGGGGGGCGTCCTCCAAGTGCCACTCCCGCGGCGTCGCTATCGGCGTCTCCGCCGCAACGCGACCCACCAGACCGCGCGCAAGATTGACGTAGAAGACTGTGGCGCCGCCCCGTCGGTGCTGCACGTGGTCCCGCACCGCCTGCGAGAAGCGCTCCTGTCGACTGTACTCGACAACGCGTGACTGGGGGCGGCTGCCGACGCCGCGCGCACCTCCGCCAGCACCGGCGTACGACATGACATCCCGCATCGAGGATGAGTTGCTTCGCGCCCCGCAGCGTACGCCACTGCGTGACGGCGGAAAGTTTTTCGGGTCCTTGTACGCGTCCGTAATGCCAACCACCTGGATGTTCTGCTGCTTCCCCGCGGCCCGCTCCACGTGGTGAATGCCCTGCGGGGCCTCAGTGTGCCTCGGCGGCTCGACGCGCCGCAAGCGCCCCCACATGAACTCCCGCGTCTCGTGCGACTCGTCGTTGTGGTGCGAGCGACGGGCTGCGTGCGGGGTGGCGGCGGTGGCGGTGGCGGCGGCGGGTGTGGCGGGCTCCTCCGCGGCAAATATGTTGAGCGTGCCGGCATGCAACCGGCGCGTGCGGTCAAAGGCAGCCCGCCTCGAGGCGTACGCCGACTCGTCGCGCGGCAGTGGGCGAAGCACGGGCTCCATTCACGCAAGACAGGCTTCACACGCTCCCACGCACTTCTCCCTCCTGTCCCACAAGCAGGCGGCACGAGAGAAGGAACTCCCCGCCCCCAAAAGGAAAAAAAAAAGAAAAAAAAGAGGAAAAGGAAAATAACTGCAGGACACATCGTAGACGAGCATCATAAAGTCTTCGCCTCGTTTCAATACGCCTCCGTGAGAGCGACCCCCCCCACACACACACAGACACACAGACCCGGAGCGAGCAAGGGGCAAGATAGCACGGGCATATTAAATAGCGCATACATAAGTACTAATGTAGCTTTAACACGGAGCAGGCGAGAAACAAAAATTCCCCAGTAGACGCTCTTAGCTTGAGACCCACGGAGAGCGACAGAGCGGGCATACCGTCTGGCCGCCGTTTGCCCACCACGCATATAGGCAGTAGGAGTGAAGGGCGGCGTTGCGGCACACGGCGCACTGCATGTCGGGCAGACGATGATCCACCGCCGACACCACGGCAAAACAGATGGGGCACGGCTCCTGACCAGAGAAGTGAGCGTCCATGTTCCTTCCAAAGAGCGTCACACACTCCCACACGTTGGCAGAGCCTCCAAAGAGAAGTACGGTCATTTTTAGCATCCAGGCACGCCACTTCTCGGTTGAGACGCCGCAGCCTTTGCCGCTTTCAAAAGTAACCACAGGAGGCTTCAATGGAAAGGCGGCGGGAATTTCAATCTGCACCATAACACTTGCATCCTCCATGGTGTAGCGCAGCGTAATGAGATTCTTTGGCATACTAACCGCGACGCTGTAGTTTTCATTCACGTCAAAGGTCGGCTCCCCGGTAGGGCTCCTGCCAAGCACGGTGAGTAGGCTCTCCTGTACGAGCAGAGGTGAGACATGCTCCTCCACAAAAACGTAGAAGAGGTCCTGCAGCTTCCGCTCAATCGTCTCCAACCAGCTCTTCACTACAGGCAATGTGTTGCTCTGCAGCAGCAAGGCAAAAACGGCGGCGGCCCCCTTCGCCAATTCCTTCATCGGCTCCGCGGCGTTTGTTCGCGTTAGGGCGACGGTTTCAAACCCAAGGTGTTCCCCACTCGACTTCGTCGTGCTGCAAAGATACGTCCCGTCGAGGCGCTTGTTGCCAGGCACCACTGGCGTGAGCAGCAGCGAGCAGAGGAGGTCGAGCAGGTGCAACACCTCCTCACGTCGCTCCTTCGTGAGCTCCTGCTGCACGGTCCCACTCAGCGTGACGCACCACGCGAGCAGAAGCGGGAAGAGCGCCAGCTTTTGTTTGTTTGTCTTCATAATGATTGCTGTGTATCGCGTGAACAACTTTACTTTTGCCGGAGACCGCGTGCTGAACTCATGACGGAGGTTCCGCAGCGATCGTTTGGCGGTGATCTGACGCATGATGGGCAGCAGGACAACGCCCGAGCGCATAAGCGTCAAGATAGACAACAACGCCACCGCACGGATGGCGCTTGCGACGGCGTCGATTCCGATGGACTCCAACCTCGCGATGGGGGTGGCGCAGAGCCACTGGTAGGCGAAGTTCATCACACCCGCCACCTTCGTCACGGTGGCCTCTGAGGCCCGCAGCACGGCAACGTCGGAGGTCACTAAGTCACCGAGGCAACTTGACGTGAACGCGATCAGCTTCGTGACGAGGGGCACGTCCTCCTCCTTCGTTTGACGCAGCGACACGACGGACTCCGTCACGGCGTCGAAGAGGATGAGATTGACGGAGCTTCGCAGAACATCGTCCAGGCGCCCGTGCAGAATCCCACCGCGGCGAGCCGACACGGCGGACACAACGACACGCCGGAGATCCCTCAAACTCATGGGAGGCTCATTTGGCGCCTGCGACAACAATCGCCCGTTTGGTGGCATGTGGCGCAGCCTGCAGCAGCGGGCCAGCAGATGCGTCATGGTGTGCACAAGTTCATTGTAGGCCGCCGTATCAAGGATGCGGCTGGATGAGAGCTCTGCGAGGAACTCAAACCCGTCAAGCGGGCGCAGGCGCTGGGCGTAGCTGATCACTTGCTGCACCGTGCTGGCGACGACGACAGGGGCGATGCTGAGGTGGCGGTGCATCGTCATCGTCAAGAGTGCGGTGGGCGGAGGCAGCGTGGGCAGCATACACATCGCCTCCTGCACAACAGACGCCTGTCGTGCGGCGACGGAGGAGAGAATCGAGTCACCAACCACATCTGCAGCTTCATCCAGCGAGGCAAAGAAGGCGCGGTAGGCCGCGATGGCCTTCTCATGCACAGGTGCTGCCCCCTCCTTCAAGAGCAGGGAATCGATCATCCACTCCGTCACCACACTCGCGATGCGGCGGGCACTCTCCAGGACTGCGTCGCCAACACACACCGCCGCGTCGCGAATGACGGCCGCAAGCGTGCAGAGCAGAAGGTGCGGCTCCGCGTCGGTGCGCAAGAGTGCAGCGACGTCCTCCCGCGAGTTAACGCGCACAAGCGCGCGTGGGAGCAACTTCGTCATGAGCAATTTGCGTATGGGTTCAGACAACGCCTCCTGCACACGCGCGGCGCGGAGCAGCGGCAGCAGCACGGCCACGGTGTCACAGGTTTCAAGGGGCACAGAACGCGCGAGCAGGTGCACAAGCTGCCCCGTTCTTACACAGCGCAGCAGCGAGAGTTCCATCACGTCAAGTGAACAGTAGCGATCCAGCATGGCGAAGGGGACCTCCGTGGCAGGGGCGCCGGCGCCCCGCAAATGCACCTCGTTCTCCTCCCACAACTCCGTGCTGCAGGCGATTCCCTGCAAAAGACTACCTGACGCAAACGGCACCAGGCGGGAAAGTTGACCACACGCGGCAAGGCCACACGAGGGATCCCGCATGACGTCATCAAACAACCCCAGGGAGGCCGTGTCCAACTGCTCCACGCCCACCTTGTAGGAGTCCAGTAGCCCCTCGATCTTCTCCACCAGCGTGTTGAACGGGCCAACGCCGAGGGAGTGCTTCTTCCTTGCCATCGCCCGCAACAGGGGATCCTTGTCGTTGTGCAGAGCCACACGAATTGCCTTGATAGACATGTACTGCTCCGCATGCAGCCTCGGCGAAACGGTGGCCACGATGCGGAACAACGTCGGCAAAGGCAGGTCGTCGCCACTGAACTCCAACAGCGTGGGCAACCGGTTCCCTCTCTGAAGCAGATCACACCACAGCAAAAGTTGTTGCAGGACTTCTCCGGCCCTGTTGACCTCGTCTTCTTCCGCCTCTTCTTCTTCCTCCTCCTCCTCGTCGATGGCGTCGCCATCGTCGTCGTCGTCGTCGTCGTCGTCGTCAGCACCGCTTGAGGCAGCGTCCTCACTGTTGCCGCTCTTGCTGCCGCGTGGGGCGTCCGGGTCGGCCTTCGAGTCGGTCTCCGTCTCTCCTATCGCCGCCCCTTCCTCTTCCGAGACAAGGCGCAGGACGGCATCCAGTGAATGCTGCAATGCGCGACGCAGCTGCTCCTTCGCCGGCTCCGACAGCGTCGCCTGCGCCTCCCCAAGCGCCGCAATGCATCGCTCCAGCGTGCGAAAGTCTGCGTCCCCGCACGCCCGCAAGACGAGACCCAAAAGTCGCTCAGAGTCCCGCATGTCATCGAGGAGGAGGGCCTCCTCGACCCACCGCAGCTCATCGGAGGCGCCGACGACAAGCGCCTGCAGCTGCGTCCGGATCTCAGTGTCACTCCAGCCCAACACAAGTGCGAGAAGTTTCTTGAAGAGGCGCAGGGGCGTTTCTCCCCCTTCTTCCTCCTGCTCCTCGACCCGTTTTTCTCTCCGGGCGGTGGCGTCCCTCCGGGCGGCATCCACCAGGGCCGTCGCAACCTGCAACCGCACCTCCCGTGTTGGGGTAAACGGCGGTGCCTGCCCGTCACCGCCGGTTGGGGGTGCACGCGCCTGCAGCAAAACCAGCAAGGGCTCCCAGAGTTTATGGCGCAGGTACTTCATGATCAGCTGCTCCGCCTCCTGCGAGACGCCAGGGAGGGTCACAATGGCGCCCATGATCCCCGCCTGGAGCAGGTCAAAGCCCTGCTGGAGCGCGTCGCTCGCTTCGCTGGAAAGCACGGGACCAGAGGAGGTAGGGTGGCCGCACAAGACATCGAGACACCGGCGAAAGCATCCTTCGTGGCGAGCGGCCCGTCTCATGCTTAACGCAACAATCGACACGGTGGCATCCAGGTAGCGTGCCCTCGCGCCGGCGGTTTCCATCGCGGCGGCCAGGGTGGAGAGAATGTGGTGAAACAGGTTGGCACCATCCTGCTCGTGCCCGCCGCCTCGCTTTGCGGCGCGAACGCAGAGAAGCTCCCAGAGCTGCAAGAGGGCGGATAGCACCAACCGCCACTCCTGCAGACCCGCGTCGCGAAGACGATCCAATTTCTGCACGAGCGCCTCCCCAAACTCAGCAGCCGTGTCCGCACAGCGCGGGTCACGCGTGAGGGGCACCAGCAAGGGAACGAGGGAAGGGCAAATAACTTCCGTCGCCTCAAGGTCGCGACGTCGTGTGAAACTACAAATAACATCCTGCAAAAAATCATCCTCAAAGTACTCAATGACAGTCCCAGCACCGTCGCCGCACCACACAAGCAAGAGCTCCCAGGCGCGCCGCGTTACCACAACTTCATCGTTAAATATGGCGTTATGGAGGGCACCGGAGACGCAGCGGTGAAGCTTCGGTGTCATGAGCCTTGCCTCCACTATGTCCCGCAATAGGGAGAGTGACGCAGAACTCACAACGGGTGTCTTCGCCACAAGGCTGGTTTTCGCGTTGCCGTCACGTGTGGGTAACACGGGCTGGAGGGACTGTGATTCCACAAATTCAATGATTTTCGCCCGCGCCGCCACAGGCTGCCGCATCATGTACCCCATCGCACACACCGAGGAATACAACGTGTTGGAGCGTCGGTCCAAATTGTCGTCTTGCAGCGGTTTCCCACGACTTTGTTCAATCACCGCCTGAAACGCCTCAATGAGGCCCTCCACAATGTTATCCGCAAGCTTGTGCAGCATCGCAGGCGTGATGGCGGCATTGAAGGCTGCGCGGGCCTCCTTCCGCACCGAGTTCTCCATGTCATTCATGCGCAATACCCAGACGACGGCAAGCGACGGTAGCCCACGAACCAGCTCCCGCTGCGGCGCCTTCCCCCGCTGCGCTATGTTAAGCAAAAGGCCAAAAACGCCGGCACGAACAGACGCATTCTGGTGCTCAGCGTGGCGTAGCACAGATTCAATGATGCTTGGCATGTACGAAATAAGCTCCTCCTCCGGCGCAACAGCCACTAAACGATTCAATTCTGAGAGGGCCTTGAGCAAGGTTACCTCGCTGGTTTTCTGCAGGAGCTTCAGATTCACCTCTATCATAGCCGCGTCCTCGGCGGCACCCTGCGCAGGTATGGAGAGACCACCTAAAAAACTCTGTAGACTGTCTGGTGCGCCACGAGCCGCCACAAACGACTGCGCCACACGTCCCTTGGCTGGTCGTGGGGGCATGTCTGCCAACCAGTTGTTAGTGTGTGTATATATATATATATATATATGTATACCTTGCCTCTATCTTTCGTTTTTTTTTCTTCAAATAGCCTTATTTCCCCTCTTTCTCTCACAACGTCTCCCTGCTCCTATACCGAACGCAGAGGGGGCAGGATAATATACGCGTATTCTTCACACAGTAATAACACAACAAGCGAGAGAGAGAGAGACGCATGCATGACAACTGCGTTGTGCGGAGGCGGTGCGTCTCTCCCACTTCCGCGCTGGCGGCGTGCAACGCAGGGCACCAACCACGCCGTTTCTCAACGTGTAACCGGCAAGAAAAAAAGAAAAAGTTACAAGGGCAACCGGCACGTACGAGTAGTCAACCAGCACACACACACAACAAAAAAAAATAATAATAATAAGAAAAAAATCAATATGCAATTGGATCAACAAGTGTCGCATCACTACAAAAAAGAAGGAAAAAAGAAAAAAAACGGAAACAATGCATCGTTTTCGCTCGTCAATAAAAGACAAAAAGCAGAGGACGCAACGAAGCAATGTCCTTCTCGTAAGCGCTTTCGCCAAGTTATTACATCGCTGTGTGAGCGCCCAACTGTGAAACGACCAATGCGACACACATCAAGGTAAAAATGTGGTGTCAACGCTGACGTTATATATGTATTTATATATGTACATATAAATATGCGTGCCTGTGGAGGAGGCAAGTGAACCGCCGCTCCCTTGGCACCAGAAACGTTTGAATCTATTGTCTATGAGTCCACACCAATGCAGCAAATGATGTGGACTGCGCGTTTTTTTATATCGTTTTATTTGTTTTTGTTTTTTTTGCTTTTTTTGCTGTACTGTGCGGAGTGGAAGGGGCGGCGCTGGGCGGAATCGGCCCCCCAACAGCGGGGCAGGGCGTCCCCACACTCACGCCCACATCACGGTGCTGCCCTGTGGCAAGGGCCAACGCACGCAATGCCACGGCACCCACGTCCCTTTGCAACCCCCCCTCCCTCCCTCCCTCTATCGCCTTTGCTCTCTCAGCGGGCACATACACATATGTTAACCTCAGCTCACAATTCCTTGCGCAGGCTTCAGTTTCTACAAATCAACAAATAGCACTCTTGCCTCTTTTCATCGCCGCTGCAGGTAATAGCATCCACAGCGAGACAAAAAAAAAAAGCCTGCGTGTGTCTGAGAGAGGGAAAGAGATGTGGAAGGGGTAGTAAAGTGAATAAAACCCACTCACGTGGGCATCCTCGTTTTTGTTTTCTTGTTCTTTATTTTTCTGTTCTTCGTTTTAAGATTTTATGGCCTCTGAGCCACGTTCTATCAATCTATGCTTCCTCCACTCGCTCACATACACGCAGAAGAAACCTCTTCGCCCTTTTCTCCGCAGTGACGCAAGGAAATAGACATGCATACACGCACAAATATAATTGCATACGTATACGCCCGTGTCCATCCTTGTGCGTGAGAGCACCTCATTCCACTGGTCATCTTTCCTTTTATTTTCTATACAGGAAGCATCTGCTGCCGAGATGCACAGACACAGAGAGAGAGAGAGAGAGAGAAACGCACTCACGTGCTACATCGTCCAATGGCGCATAACTGCTTCGCCTAACGGTTGACGGTGTGAACGCGTAAAGCGACCGTGCGGAGGGATCTTGAGCGGTGCAATTTCGCGCAACGGCAGGCTCTTCCATGCATCCGGCAGGGTCAGCACGTAGGGGCTGCACAACTGTCCATCCGTCGCAAGGCCCAGCAAGGTGTCCCTCACCGGCACGTCGTCGTGGCACCCTCTAAGAACACGATCAATGATGTAGTAGACGTTAACTAGCGTCGCATCCTCCTCAGTGCGACATCCATAAAAGTCATCCGCGAGAACGCTGTTTCTGGGGTTCAGCTTGCAGCAATTCGCCGCATTGTCAATGATGAGTAGCCGGTCCATGTCTCGTCCCAAGAGACGTAGATCCTTGGTGTGGAGCGGCTCCGTGAACCACATATCATTGCGGTAGATCACCTCATCAAAGACGGGTCCACTTTGGTTCAGCTGCTCCACCACCGGCAGCGCCGTCTCTTTCGTTGACGCCGTCCACAAGACAACCTCCAATCCTCTCATGTGCCGAAGGGCATTAAGGACGTGCAGGCAGTACGGGCGCAGAATGGCGGACACGAAGGCCCCATTACGGTTGCTAACCAGGGTCTCGTCAAGGTCCAGGACAACCGTCAGCGCCGGACGCGTCTCATGAGCCTCCACCTGCGGCAGCAAAAAGTTTTGAAACAACGGCTTGGCCAAGGCGCCAAAACGTTCACGGATGTCACTTGCACCATGCCTTTCTGCGGAGCGGGCTGCAGCACGCAAACGTCGACGGCATGAGCTGAATGAAGACGGACTACGAAATGAGGCTGAACGAGGCGAAGTCGCCGCGCTGAGGCCAAGCGTACAAGACTCCGTCAAACCACTACTGCTTCCCGACGCCGGTGTATACAGATCGGAGGCACTAGTCGCTCGATCCTTGGACGGCGAGGCCGCCTTTGCCTCGAAGAGTGTCCCCGAGGCGCGGAGTTGGTTGTGCCAGTAGGACTTTATCATGCTGCCGCCGCCGCCGCCGCCGCTGATGCAGGTGTGGCTTGGGTGGAGGGTGTTCAGGAACTGTCGCCCCATTGGAATTTGGTCGGACATGCCTCTAAACCTGCGGGCCTCCACTAGTGCCCCAATGCAGCTGACACGCTATCACCGCACCCCACCCCACCACGCGTGTGTGTATGTGCGTGTGTGGTATTTCTGGAAATGTGGCACGCGGTTTATGTGTTGAGTCCAGCCGGGAAACTCAGACTTTTTTCTGTTGTTGTTGTTTTTTTTTTGCCCTCACAGCCAAAGTGGTGTTTGTGAAGTCGGACACGTGAAACTGCGTGTACTGGGATGTACTCCCGCCCTCGTGATCTCTTCCTTCTTTTTTCTTCTTCTTCCTTCAACTTCGCCCTTGTTCCTTGAGCCGCGCTGCGCCCCTCGCCTCGATCCCGCTGCCGCCAACCTCGCCCCCTTTTTTTTGCGTGCGACCGGAGGGCGAGAAGGCACGAAACGAAGAAAAAGAAAAAAAATATATAAAAGAAAAAAAAAAAAGACGGCGCAGATTCGACACATTCAGCACGACGTAGGCGACGAACAAACAGCAAACGCTGCGTGGGTGGAAGCGGCCCACCGTCGCCGCTCACGCGCGACGACGAAGGCGGGGAGGCACGAACCTCAACGCAGAATCAGACAGTCAAACCAATGATACGCTGCAGACGCGCATCAACAAGCGGCTGATAGACATATATATATATATATCCGTGTTTATACATATGTTGGCTGCGACGACACCGGGCGGTAACCTTGGTGGCGGCTCTGGACTCTTGCCGAGTTCATATCTGTCAATTCCTTGGACTTTCTTCCTGGCTGCCGCCGCGCTTCGTCTTGGGGCGACCCCCACGCATCAGCGCAGCACACTGCAAGTAACAAAAAATCATAACTGGAAACGGAACAAGTGATATTCATTCATGGAAATTCATTACTCCCTTTACTTTGTCACCCTATTCGCGTGTCCCTTGTGTGTTTTTTGTCTTGTTTTCTTCGCTGCTCCCCGCTGGTTCTGTTGCCCTCCCACCCCACACAGCAGCGCCCGCCGTCGCTCCTCCGGGACGCACTCACGACTGCCCCAAGAGCACTCTATCCTTGAGGGTAATATCTATCAGCCGGTTGAGTTTGTCCACCTCGAGCTTGCGGAGACTCGCCGGATCGTCGGGCTCGCCCTTTTTCGGCTTGCAGAGGGTGCGCAGGTTCGGCGAGAGCTTCAGGATGAGCACGGAGCCGCGTGAGTCGCCCACCATGACGACTGGCTCGTCCCTGTGGAAGGCAACGTGGGTGAGTTTGGCATTCTTCACCACCGTCTGTGAGCAGAGGGGCTCACGCTTGTTTTTGTTCAGGTCAAACACGAGCACCTTGCCGTTTGAGGTGACCGCCGCAAAGACGGTGGAGCTGTACGGGGCCCACGCGATGTCGCCCACAGAGTCACCCGCGTCGAAGATCAAGAGTGGCTTCGTGGAGCTCTTAAGCCACAGCTTCACTGTCCAGTCGGCGGAACAGGTGAGGAAGATGTCAGAATGAAACGGATTCCAGCGGCACGTGTACACGGGCATGCTGTGCCCCTCGTAGCGCATCCAAGCACTGTCCATGGTAACCTTTGCTACACAGCATCACAGAACCCTCCTGGGTACCCACGATAAAGAGGCCGTCATACACCGCAGAGAAGTCAAAGCATGTACCACTTAGGCGACTAAGCAACATCGCTTCCGGGTCTGAGGCGCATGCACCTGTTGTCACGGTCATAATATCTTTGAACACCAAATCTTTTTTGCGTAGTGACCAGCTGGTAATACGGCCATCGGTGCTGATCGAGTAGAACTGGAGCTCCAGGGAACCACGGCACCAATGAATCTCCCACACAGGGTCCATGTGTTTGCCGGAGCGTACGTCAGACTGACAGATAGGTTTCACACCCTCCTTGCCGTCCTTGCCCATGATGCGGAGGTCAAATACACAGACCGATCCATCATGTAAGCCGCAGGCCAATAACGCCGTTTCCACAGGGTGAAACTCAAGACACATGACACCGCTTTCCAAATTAAATGAGAACTCTGGGTGGGCGGGAATTTGAACCCCCGAGAGTGTCGGTACCGTGTTTTTCAGAGTAAAGCAGTGAATGGCACCTTTGCCCTGTCGCTGAAAGTCGTAGCTACCAAAGCCTACCGCAAACAGATCCTTGTAACGATTGTTTAACGAGATGCTAGTTACCGCACGATGTCGCACCTTTGTTGTAAAGAACTGCCACAGTGGCAGTAGATTGCCATCCTCCTTGAACAGGTCACTCTCATCTTCCCAGTACTTGAAGTCTTCAATGATGTCGTGGCAGTCGTTTTGGTTGACCATTCGCTCAATGATTTTAAGTGCCTGCCCATACGTGGAGGAGCTTAAGACCTCTTCCGTGGTTTTGCTGCCGCCGGTGTCCTCCACCGTCAGGGTCAGTTTATCCTCTTCCTTTCCAGTGCGGTGCCCCGCGGCCTTCTTGTGCGCCGCCGCGGCCTTTTCGGTCTGAATGCGATCTTCCTCGTAGGCGTCGTAAATCTCCCACGCGGTGGCCACCGCACTGAAGTTCGTGGACGGCGGCGGGTCCGTCATGACACATTGCTCCTTCATTGGGTTGTTCATCGTCTGGCTGCCGCGGTCACTGTAGTTGAACTGGTTCTTGAGGATGCTCGTGGAGACCCCCTCGTCGACCAAGTCCGGGTTCAGCTCCGCGCGGGCGGCGAGTTCCGTGTCGCGCTCGCGGCGCTGGCGGTCCTCCGCCTGCTGCACCGCCTCCGGGTCGTCCTTGCGCACCGTGCTGCCGTCGTCCCGGAAGTGCCGGGCCGTCTGCCCCACGCTGGGGAAGAAGCGGTAGACGCGTGCGTCCTTCTTGTAGTCGAAGTACACCGGAGTGGACATGACGCTGGGGTCCGTGCCCTTCAGGATGCGTTCCACCAACGCATCGCGGTCCGCGTCCGGCTGCTGCACCCCGGAGGCGTCAAGCGACCCAGTGGGCGTCTGGCCCTGCGTGTGGTTCGCCGCGCCGGAGGGGTGGCTGTAGCGCCGCTGCGAGACGCTGGCGCCGTCCATGCTGCTGTCGGGTCGGCGTCAGGCCCACGCACACGCAGTTGCCGGGCAGCGCGGTATATTATATATGTGTGTTTGATTTGCTGTTTCCTGCTTTTGCGTTTTCTTCGCCGGCGAGAGCCCTGCGCAAAGTCCCTTTTGGCGTTGTATGTTTGTGTGTGCTGTGTTTTGCCTCTCCTCTCCCAGCCTGCGTTTGCTGCTTCGCCCGCTTCTTCCGCGCGGACGCGGCGGCCCAGCAACAGGGGGAAGCAACGGAAGGAAGAAAATGGAGGAAGTACAGCGGCACCGCCGCCCGCTCGCGGAAGC